AAAAAAAAAAAAAAAAGGCGGGGGTGGGGGGTACGCTGTACTAAACTATTGCTCTAATATTCCAGGAATCAATTAATGCAATTCTTTATGCAAACAGCAGCTAATTTCTAGTCTCTTCCAATATACCAAAAGCATCTGAGGAACAGAGCCTTCCAGGTGAACCCTGCATATTACTGAGGAAGAGGGACAGAAAACAGGCACTGACAAGTTCCCCAATCCCTCCCCATCAACCAAAACCCACTCTTGCTTACTTGGTACACACGCTCAATTGATTTCAAACACCGTAAAGAGGCCTCTTTATGTTGTGACCCACAGCAGATTATCACTAAGAAAACTGCTCAGAAAGAAGCTGAAATCTATAGATCAAAAGTCCAATGAACAAAGGCAGGATGTGGAAGATGTGGCTTGGCAACTGTGTGCATGTTGAAAAGGGGGGAAAAATGCTACTTATGGGTTTTAGTTGATAAGCTCAACAGAAATCAATGATATCATAATAGATGCCAATTCAACTAATGCAATTCTTGGTTGCACTACAAGAGAGAACCCCAGGGAGATGACAGACTGTTCTTTTTTGCCATACCTTGTACTCTGTTCCAGGCAGCACGCTATAAAGGGGATAATGATAAACTGTGGTATAGCCAGGGGTCAGCACCAAGGTCATGAGGGGGAAGAAAACCAGCTAAATGAAGAACGGTTGGAAGCCCTGAGAAGTTTCAACCTGGAGAACTGGCAACTCGGGAGGTAAAAAAACTGTCTTTAGAATCTGTCCTAGAGATCAGATTTGTTCTGTGGAGCCTCAAAGATTACTCAGAAACAGGATCAGTAGGTGGAAAGTAAAGGGAGGCAGGTCCTTGGCTAGACATAAGAAAGACAACTATCAAAAGGAGTTGTCCAGGGCTTCCCTGGTGGCACAGTGGTTAAGAATCCACCTGCCAATGCAGGAGACGTGGGTTCGAGCCCTGGTCTGGGAAGATCCCACATGCCGCGGAGCAACGAAGTCCGTGCACCACAAACACTGAGCCTGCGCTCTACAGCCCACGAGCCACAACTACTGAGCCTGCGTGCCACAACTACTGAAGCCCATGCGCCTAGAGCCCATGCTCTGCAACAACAGAAGCCACCGCAGTGAGAAGCCCGCGTACCGCAACGAAGAGTAGCCCCCGCTCGCAGCAACTAGGGAAAAGCCCGTGTGCAGCAACAAAGACCCAATGCAGCCAAAAGTAAATAAATAAATTTATTTAAAAAAAAAAAAAAGGTGGGGGGTTAGTTGTCCAAATGGATCGCTCTAGGAGATAGTTCCTTATCCCTGGAAAGATCCAAGCAGAAGCCCCTCGAAGAGCTGCTAAGCAGGAATTGAGGCACTGTAGACGGTGGGTGCGGTCACTCCCTGGAGTGCCTTCTAGGGCTCTTTCTGGCAACCAAGGCGTCCTCCTCTTCTCTCTAGCTGTCCCCACTGAGTGCAAGCCTCCATGGCCACCTCGCCTTGGGCTCTCTGTGATGAAACCTGGTTTCTACCGTCTAGTGCTATAACTACTATTTCCTGCCCTGTGGGAGATTTTATTAGACCCTGTTAACTGTCCAAATGAGTAGGGACAGTTAATATTTAAGAGCTGTAATATTTAAGAGTTCAAGACCAGCTCTTCCTTCAGGTTCTTGAGGACAATGAACAGAGTTTATACAATATGTGTGGCCCATCAACACAAAGTAAAAATCTCCATAAGATATTTAGACTCAAAAGAGTGTACTAAGGGACTTCCCTGGCAGTCCAGTGGTTAAGACTCCACACTTCCAGTGTAGGGGGCGCAGGTTCGATCCCTGGTCAAGAAACTGAGATCCCACATGCCATGTGGCACAGCCAAAAACAAAAAAAGTGTACTACATAAGAAAAGTCTGCATGTTTACTGGCAAACATATATGTATATATTGTTTTTTTCAAGTGTACATTCAACCAAAATTGCATTGAAATACCAACTATTTGTATAACCCTGATAAACTTCCTTATATAAACTATTTTTAATTAATCGATATTCTCATTATTTTAAGGTTTTTTTCCACTTATTTTATATCTACTCTTCCTTGAATCTAAACAGTACACACACTGATGATCTTTAATTGTAATATAGTAATATAATGGTCCATCATTATATTAATAAAATAATTTGCTCCCAACTGTTGGCTTTTGAGCTTTTTTTTTGCACTATCTTACATCATAGCTAAAAAAATTCCTACAAATAGTTTTTAGTTTTCAAGTCATATCCTTGGAGTAGAGCTAGATGAATAGGCTTTTCTATGGTTATCACCATACAAATGACTGAACTAACATACAGTGTCACTAGCAATATATGGACATGTCTATCTTTTCATAACCCTGCCAACTTTGGATTTTATCTTTTTTTTTTTTTTCTTTTTTGGGCCACGCTGTGCACGCAGGTTGTGGAATCTTAG